CTCACACAAGAAGAAGCCATGTCCCTCACCCAGGGTCACCTCACACATGAAGAAGGAGCCAGGTCACCTCACACAGGAAGAAGGAGCCAGGTCACCTAACACAAGAAGAAGGAGCCAGGTCACCTCACACAAGAAGAAGGAGCCAGGTCACCTCACACAGGAAGAAGGAGCCAGGTCACCTCACACAGGAAGAAGGAGCCAGGTCACCTCACACAAGAAGAAGGAGCCAGGTCACCTCACACAAGAAGAAGGAGCCAGGTCACCTCACACAAGAAGGAGGAGCCAGGTCACCTCACACAAGAAGAAGGAGCCAGGTCACCTCACACAAGAAGAAGGAGCCAGGTCACCTCACACAAGAAGGAGGAGCCAGGTCACCTCACACAAGAAGGAGCCAGGTCACCTCACACAAGAAGAAGGAGCCAGGTCACCTCACACAAGAAGAAGGAGCCAGGTCACCTCACACAAGAAGAAGGAGCCAGGTCACCTCACACAAGAAGGAGGAGCCAGGTCACCTCACACAAGAAGAAGGAGCCAGGTCACCTCACACAAGAAGAAGAAGCCAGGTTACCTCACACAAGAAGGAGGAGCCAGGTCACCTCACACACACACACCCAACATGACCCTGACCCACCAAAGACATGACCCCTCCCCCCTCCCCCAATGCAACCATAAAGCAACACTACTATCAACTTCCGCAACATTAAATGTTGCTGAGGAGTGCACACACTCACTGAGACAATGCCAGACGTCTTGTAATTGCACTTTAATGATTCTTCACATTACCAGACAGTGGTGGTTAAGGTCTTAAAGGTTGGGGGGGTGGGGAGGAGAGTGGGGGGGGGAGTGGTAAAATGTGTCTCACCATCGTCATCAAAGACCCATTTCAGCCTTTTTTTCTCATTTTTCCCCACATTAAACTTCACATTTTCCTTCTCTTAGAACAAAATGTGTATATTGTTTTAATTTTCTCCTCCCCTTTGTGGCAAAATGTTTATATAATGTTTGAAATCTCTCTCTCTCTCTCTCTCTCTCTCTCTCTCTCTCTCTCTCTCTCTCCTCTCCTCCCTCCTCCTTGTGTCCTCCCTCTCTGCCTCCCCTCTCTCTCTCTCTCTCTCTCTCTCCCTCTCCTCTCCTCTCTCTCTCTCTCGCCTCTTCTCCTTCTCTCTCCTCTCCTCTCTCTCTCTCTCTCTCTCTCTCTCTCTCCCCCTCTCTCCTCTCTCTCCTCTCTCTCTCTCTCTCTCTCTCTCTCTCTCTTCTCTCTCTCTCTCTCTCTCTCTCTCTCTCTCTCTCTCTCATAAATCATATATCATGTTTGTGTTGTGTAGTGAGGAGTTGCCATCAATCACCAGCTGAGATTATTAGGTTTGACAGGTCCTGGTTCGGTAATAATGAATTTGATTGGACCCAAAGAATGGTTCTTTGCGCTGATTTATTATTTTTTGGCTTTTCGAAACAATTTCTGTGCAATAGACTACAAAATTGTGCAGTAAAAATTTCAAATTTAAAAAGATTTTATATATGAGAGAGAGAGAGAGAGAGAGAGAGAGAGAGAGAGAGAGAGAGAGAGAGAGAGAGAGAGAGAGAGAGAGAGAGAGAGAGAGAGAGAGAGAGAGAGAGAGAGAGAGGTGCTGTTATTCTTTCCATTCTAAAATTAGAGTAAAAGATATAATCCGAGTCATAATATGAATTTCATGACCTGTTTCTTTAGGATAACCTCTGCTATCCAAAAGCAGGTTAACAACTCAGTTATCCAGCACGTGATATCTAATCACATGTTAGAGCAGGATTACAGCTTATTAATCCCGCATAAGATATCGAATCTCATATTATTGTTTAATTAAATAATCCATTTTATGTAAGCCTGGCTATTGCTAATCCTATGTTATCCTAGAATTTTATAATACAACCTCTATTTCAGGTTTTTTGTTTCTGTTTGTGTTAGCTTTCGATAAGTTATCCTACAATATCATTGATAAGTTTATCTGCAGTAATTTTAGCTTATATTCGTTTCATGTTATCCTGTTATCGTTATCATGTTATCCTGGATATTTGATTACCGTGTTATCCTAACTCACATCATATCCTTGTTAATCTAACTTATATCTACAAGCATGTTATTTTAACCTTGTCTTCCCCCTGATTTTCTAGCCTTGTTTACGTCTCCTGTTATCCTAGTCATGTCTACCCCTGTTATCTTAGCTCACATTCTCCTCCCTGTCATTCTAGCCTTGTCTACCCTCATTATCCTTTCCTGGTCAACCCAGTTATCCTAGCTCACGTTCACCACCCTGTTATCCTAGCCTTGTTTACCCTCTGTTATCCTAGCCTTGTCTATCCCCCCTGTTATCCCAGCCTTGTTTACCCCGTTATCCCAGCCTTATCTACCCCGTTATCCCAGCCTTGTCTATCTCCCTGTTATCGTAGCCTTGTTTGCCGCGTTATCCCAGCCTTGTCTACCTCCTGTTATCCCAGCCTTGTCTACCCTGTTATCCCAGCCTTGTCCACCCCCTGTTATCCCAGCCTTGTCACCCCCTGTTATCCCAGTCTTGTCACCCCCTGTTATCCCAGCCTTGTCACCCCCTGTTATCCCAGCCTTGTCTACTCTGTTATCCCAGCCTTGTCTAACTCGTTATCCCAGCCTTGTCTATCCCCTGTTATCCCAGCCTTGTCTACCCTGTTATTCCAGCCTTGTCTATCTCGTTATCCCAGCCTTGTCTACCTCCTGTTATCCCAGCCTTGTCTACCCTGTTATCCCAGCCTTGTCTATCTCGTTATCCCAGCCTTGTCTACCTCCTGTTATCCGAGCCTTGTCTATCTCGTTATCCCAGCCTTGTCCACCCGCTGTTATCCCAGCCTTGTCCACCCGCTGTTATCCCAGCCTTGTCCACCCACTGTTATCCCAGCCTTGTCTACCCTGTTATCCCAGCCTTGTCTAACTCGTTATCCCAGCCTTGTCTAACTCGTTATCCCAGCCTTGTCACCCCCTGTTATCCCAGCCTTGTCTACCCTGTTATCCCAGCCATGTCCACCCGCTGTCAACCCAGCTGACAAGCGTGTTGTCTGGTCAACAGGGGAGAACTCTGCAGCGATGCAACACGACGCCTTGCCGGAGACCAGCAGCTCGGCCACACCTGCCTCCAACGCCTCCGCCACCTGCCACACCTGCTTCACCCAACACCTGTACCTGCTGGCCGCCTCCTGCCTCGCCACCTGCACCGCCACCTGCCGCAGCGTCACTATGTCTTCCTCTTTGACTTCCTCCGCCTCCTCTTGGATGGCCGCGACGGCCGCTTCCTGGAAGATTTTGACCGTCGCGTTGGCCAGTTGCAGGAATTTAGCCAAGGCTTGGATTGGGGCCGTTTGGCAGGCTGTACCGAGCTGGATCTTCGAAGGGCCGCGTACCTGGATGGCAGAGTCGTTAGTCGTTGGCATAACCACTTGTCAAGGGCTCTGTCTTCGGGTGTTCAAGTGGCTGGCGGCCCTGTTCACTCGCGTCGACAGATGGCGCCTTCTAGAGGGCCACCTGGCCAGTATAACCTATAGGGGAAGCAGCAGCAGGCATGATAGGAGAAGAAAATTTTTAACAAGATGATGGACTCTGTGTTTGTGTCTGTGTGTCTGTCTGTACTTGCACGTATAATCACTATGATCTGAGTCCCCTCTATAACCCATCAGTTCTCGTTGTGTTAAGTATTCCAGTATAGGTTTTGTATATAGCATAACGTTTGTACCTTCAAGCTTTCAAAGGCGAATTATGTGGATCTTGATATATATATATATATATATTATATATACTATATATATATATATATATATATATATATATATATATATATATAAAGTCCATGGGGTGTTTTTTGTGTTGGTTTATCTGAGCTCTTTAGGTGTTTAGGTACATTGATGTTTGTATATATTTGTTTGTAAGGCAGGGTGTACAAATATATTACAGTGCCGGACATATATGGTTGGGGGAGAAGGATGGCGTGTGTGTGTGTGTGTGTGTGTGTGTGTGTGTGTGTGAGGTGAGTGTGTGTGTGTGTGTGTGTGTGTGTGTGTGTGTGTGTGTGAGTGTGTGTGTGTGGTGTGAGTGTGTGTGTGTGTGTGTGTGTGTGTGTGGTGTGTGTGTGTGTGTGTGTGTGTGTGTGTGTGTGTGTGTGTGTGTGTGTGTGTGTGTGTGTTTACTAGTTGTGTGTTTTTACGGGGGTTGAGCTTTGCTCTTTCGGCCCGCCTCTCAACTGTCAATCAACTTGTTTACTAACTACTTTTTTTTTTCCACACCACACACACACCCCAGGAAGCAGCCCGTGACAGCTGACTAACTCCCAGGTACCTATTTACTGCTAGGTAACAGGGGCATTTAGGGTGAAAGAAACTTTGCCCATTTGTTTCTGCCTCGTGCGGGAATCGAACCCGAGCCACAGAAATACGAATCCTGCGCGCTATCCACCAGGCCTACGAGGCCTTGTGTGTGTGAGTGTGTGTGGTGTGTGTGTGTGTGAGTGTGTGTGTGTGAGTGTGTGTGTGGTGTGTGTGTGTGTGTGTGTGTGTGTGTGTGTGTTGTGTGTGAGTGTGTGTGTGTGTGTGTGTGTGTGTGTGTGTGTGTGTGGGTGTGTAGTGTGTGTGAGTGTGTGTGTGTGTGTGTGTGTGTGTGTGTGTGTGTGTGTGTGTGTGTGTGTGGAGTGTGTGTGTGTGTGTGTGTGTGTGTGTGTGTGTGTAGGGGCAAATTTTGCAAATTTCTGCAAATTTTGTGATCAAGTGTCATCTGCTGTACAGATTAGATATCGTGATGCACAAGACGATCCACAACAACATGCTCAACTTTAACAACCCACAACACCCCGACCTTCTAGACAAGTAGTTGTTTTAACCAATAAACTGCTTTGTGAACTCAACATATATATAGGAATACCATGCTGTCAGAGATACCACATTATCAGGGATAACCGCACTGATTTTTTTATTAATAAAAACATACTAAGCTGCAATATTTGAGTAAAGATCTACAGGTTTCGTAAGTGGACAGGTAAATAGTTGATGACACCTGGTGGAGGTGGTGTTGGCTGGACTGAGTCTCCACGACCAGGGAAGATAATGCCTCCACAAGTCTACAGAATGAACATCGTCCTCTACCCATGGAGTACCTTTAATGGAACAAGTAAAGGAGAAGCTCCCTCTGAAGGTAGGGGAAGTGGAACTAGGGTGGTGTGGGGAAGGGTAGTTAGGGTGGTGGGGGGAAGTGGAGCTAGGGTGGTGTGGGGAAGTGGAGCTAGAGTGGTGTGGGGAAGTGGAGCTAGGGTGGTGTGGGGAAGTGGAGCTAGGGTGGTGTGGGGAAGTGGAGCTAGGGTGGTGGGGGGAAGGGTAGTTAGGGTGGTGGGGGAAGTGGAGCTAGGGTGGTGTGGGGAAGTGGAGCTAGGGTGGTGTGGGGAAGTGGAGCTAGGGTGGTGTGGGGAAGTGGAGCTAGGGTGGTGGGGGGAAGGGTAGTGAGGTGGGTGGGGGAAGTGGAGCTAGGGTGGTGTGGGGAAGTGGAGCTAGGGTGGTGTGGGGAAGTGGAGCTAGGGTGGTGTGGGGAAGTGGAGCTAGGGTGGTGTAGGGAAGTGGAGCTAGGGTGGTGTTGGAAGAGCAGTTAGGGTGTGTGTGAAGTGCATCTATGGTGCTTTAAGGGTGATGGGAGAGTAAAATATATTAAATGTCTTCTTGGAGTAGTGTGTCAGGGAAGGGTGTTATAGGATGAGGTGTCGAAGAAGGGTGTTGGGGTAGTGTGTCAGGGAAGGGTGTTAGGGTGAGTCGAGGAAACACATAAAAGGTTCGTTAGCCACTGTTCTGACCAGACGAACTGACACATATTTTTTTTAGGGGATTTACCCTTTGAGGCCGGTGGATCTATTTTCCCTGATGGATTTAGTCTTTCCTGGTGGATTTATTTCCATGTTTTTACCCACCCACCAGCTCCCGCAGCCGTGGCCAGGTAAGGATAGACAGCTTTGATGGTCCTTAACGACCATTCACAATGGAAAGAAAAGCACCCGGAGGCAGTTTGGCAAATTATTCCATTCTAGAAGACCCATCTTCTCCAATTCCAGGAAAGTGAAATCGGAAATGGAACCGCAGGGAGGATCAGAAACAGGTGCATCAAATGGTGTTTACTGTATTGAGATCTGAGAGTGTTTCTTTATATACACAGGTGTGGGTGTTGCTCCTGCCTGTTCCTGTGGTAAGGTGTTGTGTTGCGGTGTTCCCTGGTGGCACTCAGGCCTCTATACGTGGCACTGTGTCACCCAACACATAGCACTGTCCTCAACACATGGCACTGTCCTCAACACATGGCACTGTCACCCAACACATGGCACTGTCACCCAACACATGGCACTGTCCTCAACACATGACACTCACACCTCGACCCCTGGCGACAACTGCCACCCAGACTTTATCACATAATTTCCTCATATTTGCAACACTCATCTAAATAAAAAAAAAGATATTCATCTCGTTCAAAAAAAAAAATCAAATCAAAAAGCGAGCAGTCGCATGTTGGCCGGATATGTCAACCTTCGGAAACTGAAAACTCAAGTTAAAATTAGTGCCAGCGAGTGCCAGGCAAATATATCCTGTGTATTGCTGAGGATTTAATATACAGATGATGACATGTTGACACAGTGTTGCCAAACCCTGTGTGTGTGTGTGTGTGTGTGTGTGTGTGTGTGTGTGTGTGTGTGTGTGTGTGTGTGTGTGTGTGTGTGTGTGTGTGTGTGTGTGTGTGTGTGTGAGTGTGTGTGTGTGCCACAATACACGACAACCACCATTCTCCACCACAATTACCACCATTACTTCAATTACTCTTGAACTATAGTATAGTGAAACCCTCCGTCACCACCACCATCACCACCACCAACACCACCATCACCACCACCACTCCCTCCATCCTTCTCCATCACACCCCACTTCCTCCCTCAACCAGTCCAAACTGTATTGTTATTTTATGTATATGTATACCATATATCTTATGTATATGTATACCATATATTTTATGTATATGTATAACATGTAACTTTTGTATATGTATACCATATATCTTATGTATATGTATACCATGTAACTAATGTATAAAATGATAATAAAATAATAAAATACGTTCACACACAAACGTTGGGTTTTCTCTCCTAGTTTCTTGAGCTAAAGTCACCTCTTACAGTCCAGTCTTTAATAATAATAATAATAATAATGTATATTTATACAGCTCTTCGTCAGTGCTTGAATGTGTCTCTGTCTGTCTCTCTCTCTCTCTCTCTCTCTCTCTCTCTCTCTCTCTCTCTCTCTCTCTCTCTCTCTCTCTCTCTCTCTCTCTCTCTCTCTCTCTCTCTCTCTCTCTCGCTCTCTCTCTCTCTCTCTCTCTCTCGCTCTCTCTCTCTCTCTGGGGCCAGCCTTACTCGTGAATCAAGCGGTCTTACGCCTATATTCACTACAAATTCTTTATATCCTACTATGTCCCAATTGCCTCGTTAGAAAAGGTTTACTAATTAGCTCTTAATTCAAATGAAGTGGCTGACTGACCTGTTCTCTCTCTCACTCTGGTAGTATAAGAAATTTGAGTATTTCACTCTTTAATGTATGACGCTAGGTGTGTATATGGAGGTGGAATGTCTGGTAGTGGAATGTTTGGGAGTGGAATGTCTGGTAGTGGAATGTCTGGAAGTGGAATGTCTGGGAGTGGAATGTCTGGTAGTGGAATGTCTGGGAGTGGAAAGACTGGGAGTGGAATGTCTGGTAGTGGAATGTCTGGGAGTGGAATGTCTAGGAGTGGAATGTCTGGGAGTGGAATGACTGGGAGAGGAATGTCTGGTAGTGGAATGTCTGGGAGTGGAATGTCTAGGAGTGGAATGTCTGGGAGTGGAATGTCTGGGAGTGGAATGACTGGGAGTGGAATGACTGGTAGTGGAATGTTTGGGAGTGGAATGACTGGGAGTGGAATGTCTGGTAGTGGAATGTCTGGAAGTGGAATGTCTGGTAGTGGAATGTCTGGAAGTGGAATGTCTGGTAGTGGAATGTCTGGAAGTGGAATGTCTGGGAGTGGAATGTCTGGGAGTGGAATGTTTGGTAGTGGAATGTCTGGGAGTGGAATGTCTGGTAGTGGAATGTCTGGAAGTGGAATGTCTGGTAGTGGAATGTCTGGGAGTGGAATGACTGGGAGTGGAATGTCTGGGAGTGGAATGTCTGGGAGTGGAATGTCTAGGAGTGGAATGTCTGGTAGTGGAATGTCTGGGAGTGGAATGTCTAGGAGTGGAATGTCTGGTAGTGGAATGTCTGGAAGTGGAATGTCTGGGAGTGGAATGTCTGGGAGTGGAATGTCTGGGAGTGGAATGTCTAGGAGTGGAATGTCTGGTAGTGGAATGTCTGGGAGTGGAATGTCTAGGAGTGGAATGTCTGGGAGTGGAATGTCTGGGAGTGGAATGACTGGGAGTGGAATGTCTAGGAGTGGAATGTCTGGTAGTGGAATGTCTGGGAGTGGAATGACTGGGATTGGAATGTCTGGGAGTGGAATGTCTGGTGGTGGAATGTCTGCTAGTGGAATGTCTGGGATTGGAATGTCTGATATTGGAATACTGTATTCCCGAGCGAGACAGAAAAGTTTAGCTGCGTTTCCTTTCATTCATGTACCTCTGTGCACCCAGCCGTAAAACAGGAAACCCCTATGCAGACTTAGGCAGCTGTTGTGGGTAGCATCCTGTGGCAGGACAGTAAAGTCGACCATGAGGGGCGGAAGGAGGGACCTAGATATATGCCTAAGTACAAGCTGCCTGTCCCCCGACAAGAGGAATTATATGCAAGTTAATTACAGACGAGGAGTCACAATAACGTGGCTGAAATATGTTATCCAAACCACACACTAGAAGGTGAAGGGACGACGACGTTTCGGTCCGTCCTGGACCATTCTCACAATCGACTTGAGACCGAAACGTCGTCGTCCCTTCACTTTCTAGTGTGTGGTTTGGTCAACATGCAAGCTAAATGCTTGCAAATGCAATACCAGCATGGATATGGGATGCATGAAATGGAATATCCTAGACTTACAGGTGTGTAGTGAGAGCACGACCATGGTTGTAACATGTGTTGAACACGTCTGTACCGAGTCTCAGCCAGGTCTTGAAACATGCCTAAAACCTGTCTCAAACTTGTATGAGACATGTCTGAACACGTCTGCAACATGGGTTTTAAAACTACAGTTACGTGAAATACCCACAAATGGGATATCTGAGCTAGTAACTCTTAGAGAATATTCAAAATAGGAATGACTCAAACATTATTATGAGTAATTAATTACTCATTTATTATGAGTAATTATCACCAGGAAAACAATGAATCACAAACATGTTAATAATGTACTCGCTGAGACAGCAGTATCTGAGGAAGGAAATGTTTTAATGGCGAGACACGAACCCCTGGAAATGCTGAATAGTGAATTGGAAAACGAGGAGTGGCTTGGTGTGTTCCTAGAGGGGGGGGGGGGTTGTGGCTTTCACCCCCTCCTTCAAGAGTGGCTTGCTGGGGTACCCCCTACCCTTAGGGATGATTGTGGCCTTCTACAGTGCCTCCTATAGTAGCTTCCAGTGAATGACTTCACATGAGAATGAATGAATGAGAATGACTTCGGATGAGAATGAATGAATGAATAAGAATGACTTCATGGCCAAACATCACACTTCATATCACCTCAACACATTCTAAAACGCCCCAAACCGCTCTACATCTCCTTAAACATTTTACAAAAGCTCAAGAAACTATACAGCACCTCAACATTATCTCCCTAACTCCTCAATACCCTCTACAGCATCTAAACACACACACCATAGCACCCCAACACACACTACACAACCTCAACGCACTCTACAACCAGATCCAATTAATCTTACAATTAATTATTGGTATAGACTGGAAGCATCTGTCCTGTGTTATTAGATCACAGACAACAGATTTCCTCCTCAACATCACAAGAGCCTCCCCCACCTTGTTCCCGGAAGCCTGGAACATATTCAGTCATGTGTAACTGGAAATGGCCGCAATAAACCAATTGCGGCCTGATCAAAAGGCCTGATCAACCGCGTTGCTTCCAGCGCGGTTGATCAGGCCTCCACCTTCTCTGCTTCATGCTAGAGACATTGTTATCATTTCATTGACTGGAAATGTCGTGTTCGCCCATTGGCTGGAAATGGTCCCTTCACCCTTGGCTGGAAATGGTCCCTTCACCCTTGGCTGGAAATGGTCCCTTCACCCAGTGGCTGGAAATGGTCCCTTCACCCAGTGGCTGGAAATGGTCCCTTCACCCTTGGCTGGAAATGGTCCCTTCACCCAGTGGCTGGAAATGGTCCCTTCACCCTTGGCTGGAAATGGTCCCTTCACCCAGTGGCTGGAAATGGTCCCTTCACCCAGTGGCTGGAAATGGTCCCTTCACCCAGTGGCTGGAAATGGTCCCTTCACCCAGTGGCTGGAAATGGTCCCTTCATCCAGTGGCTGGAAATTTCCTCTTCATCTAGTGGAGGAAAATGTCCAGTTCACGTAGTGGCTGGAATCAGTTTTCATCTAATGGCTGGAACATTAACGGAAATTGCTAACAAAATGTTCTTTATCACTAACTGGAAATTGTTCATACATTCCAATGGCTTATTTATTACTCGGATGTATTTTATGCATAAATTCCAGCAACTAAAAAACACTCTTGTATCATTGCTTCTTGGCGTAGGATCAAATGACATAACCTGGAACGTTCCTTGCAACAATAGATGGAGCCACTTGTCATCTTAATTAACTACAATTCTCGCTGTCTTCAATACCATAATTGTGCTCTTTCTGCTGCTTGGATCTTCAGAAACTGTAATTACCAATATCAAAGCAGACTCGAAGTACCATATTTCTCTAAGACTTCCTCCATCCGCATCAATGTAATTGGAATCTGACTTCACCTTTAAGGTCGGGAATGGTCCTTTAAACAGCTGGAATTCTTTCTAGTGCCCATTCTTAAGCTCGGTTGTGTCTCGCCATTCCTGTCTGTCTGTCTGTCTGTCTGTCTGTCTGTCTGTCTGTCTGTCTGTCTGTCTGTGTTTGTCTGCTTAGGAGTGTCACCCTCAGCACTCTGCTCGGGTGTATATATTATATGATAATATACCCTATGAGATGTATATACTAGATGTGTATATATATCTCCTTACAGGTATATAATATATGATCACATACATCCTTAGAGTAATATAACTCCTCAGCTGTATATATATACGAGATGTATACATGCCTCACAAGAAGTATACACAAGATGCACATACACCATACAATCTATCATGAGTGCTCGCTGCAGCAAGTGCTCCCTTGAGCATCTTAGGATATACAAATGTGTCTTGGAATACCAGTTTCCACTCCTCAAGACTAAATCAAAAATTACTCACAAAAAAATGAAATAAATTCATCACTCTTTTAATTAGTCTTTACCTGACTTTAAGGTGGAAACGTTTTACACACAAATATCATTTGTGATGGAACGGAGGTAAAGGAATGGTGGCCAACCACTTGGACGGTCGGGGATTGAACGCCGACCTGCATGAAGCGAGACCGTCGCTCTACCGTCTAGTCCAAGTGGTTGGGCATGGTAAAGGAATTTAGAAAAGGAGGTAAAAAGAGAGGGAGTCATATTTAATGCCAGAAACGCTGTCCGTATTAGTGGCTTTAGGCATTGTATGTATTAGCTCTATCTATAAATCTAACATTATGTTTGTAACTCATCTTGAATGTATGTACTTTTACCTGAATAAACATTATTATTATTATTATTATAAATAGTGAAGGTTTGACCGAACAGAGAAGAGGAAATGAAAATGAATGAATAATAATAATAATATATAAAATAAGAAAAGCATAGTGATTGAAAAATGGTTAAAGTGAATAAGAGAAAGAATGAGAAATAATATCGTCAGAAATGCCGTAAAAGGCCGAAAATGCACAGAGAGAGAGAAGGACGATTTGCATAACAAAAGGAGGAAGAGGCACAGCAGAGAGAAAAAACTATCCAGCATACTGATTATCCTGGCGAGCTTCCGTTACGACGGAGGGAGAGAGAGAGAGAGAGAGAGAGAGAGAGAGAGAGAGAGAGAGAGAGAGAGAGAGAGAGAGAGAGAGAGAGAGAGAGAGAGAGAGAGAGAGAGTGAAATTAATCCAATGCCTAACCTAACCTTCCTTCTTTCCTTATTCTGCCACTCACTCCCTCCATCTCTACTTCTCTCCCTCTCTCCCCAACTTCTCCCCCTTCCACTCTCCTCCCCCTCACACTCTCTTTCATCATCTCTTCAATTTTTCTTCCTTCAATTCAATTATAACATCCGAGGGAAAAATGCCTGAAATTTCCTTGCTTGGAGAATCACCAAAAAATAAAAATCTTTAACCCGTAAACTCATTTCCGACCGTCAATCATTTCACGATTTGAGAAATAAGTATAAACTATCAGCTCACATTTGAGTCAATATTAGCTACATGTCCTGGTACAGCTTCTCGGTTCATCGTACCAGTATGGTGACCGTGTGAGAGTGTTTTGATTTATATTCGAATAAATGTATATATAAAGATGATTAAAGATGGCGCTCACCGAGGGTTCTGACGTCACTTCCGTCAGCCCGTGACGTAACGCGGGGGAACCAATGAGAGGCGCAGAATGAGATCTTGACTCTGATTGGTAGGGCTCGGTGCTCGATCTATCAGAAGGCGCTAAGCGGGAGACACGGTTGCTGCTCTTTCGCCTGAATGGCTACCAATTGCTCACTTGGCTTCTGGTATTCGTCTGGAACTAGACAGATCAGTCACTTCATGAACCTCTCCCACGATTTGCTCTTGACACTTGTACAAAGATTCGAATCATTGCACCTGATTAGTAATAATTTCAGAGAGTGACAGCAGAGGCAGAGACTACCCTCGCAAACATTTGTCAACAATGAGGCGAAGCGCCCTGCGGTCCCTTTAGCACCGATCAGACCAACAACCAGCTGTCGCAATCAGAGGCCTTCGGGTGTTCTGGGGAAAGTGCCAAGCCATTACGATTAAATAGCACTTGTAAGGCGTCAGATAAGGATTTGGGATGGGATGGGGGTGGATGGAATGGTGCCTAACCACATGGATGGTCGGGGATTGAATGCCGACCTGCATGAGGTAAGACAGGCGTTCTACCGTCCAGCCCAAGTGGTTGGGCACCATTTCTTACTGTAAGTCCCATCCCATATCCTTATCTTGATTGTTGGCGTGAAGTGCGAGGGCTTGCAGGTTTTGTTGCAGAGAGCCTACAAGTGTTGTGTGTGTGGGATCAATCAACCAGGCTGTGATTCATACGTCAGGCTGCGAGCAGCCGCGTTAAACAGCCTGGTTGACCAGTCCAGCAACCAGGAGGCCTGCTCGACGACCGGGCCGCGGGGACGCTAAGCCCCGGAAGGAAGGAAATTATCAGGGGAAAAGCACCAAGCCATTATGACTATGTAGCACTTGGAAGGGGGGTCATGATAAGGATTAGGGATGGGATGGCGGGAAGGACTGGTGCCCAACCACTTGGACGGTCGGGGATTGAACGCTGACCTGCATGAAGCGAGACCGTCGCTCTATCGCCCAGACCAAGTGGTTGGACTGGGGACTCGAAACAACTCTAAGGTAGGTA